ACTACCACTAATAGTGGCTAAAAGCAGGATTGGTAAAAAATTTGCCACAGATAAGAAAATGTGTGAATTTTACACAGGGTGCCCAAATCCAATTTTTCAAAATCAGGAGTTTTTCTTCAAAAATCAGTTTTTTTACCAATCCTGCTTTTAGCCACTATTAGTGGCAGTTATTTGTGGCTAAAAGCAGACAACGGAAAAAGTTCGTAGTAAAAAAACTTTATAAGAAAAGTAAAAGCGGCACGGCATACCGGAGTGAGTATAGTAATTCGATGATTGATGATCGCTAAGACGACGACGTCGGTGGTAAACGGTATTCACTGTTTTTCGTGTCGATCTCGCAAATTCTCAAGATATCTGAACATTTCTTGATCGAAGATTTTTGACGTGATAATGAACGATCATCAACTGAACTCAATATTAGTTTTCAACGCTTTAGAAACTTAAAATTTAAGCTATTTTAGTGAGAAATACGCTAAATCACAATCTTCATATGAAAAGAGAGATGAGCAAAATGCATCAGCAATCTGTTAGAGTTGACAATATCACTGTTCGTGTTTTCAGAATAAGTGCCGAACAGGATTGTCACTTTTTCCGCTTTTCTTTTTACCAATAAAATCTACTAAGACACAAATTCATCTTCAAAAAGAAGGGTATTACCCTAATAGATTGTTAAGCACGAGGCAAAAGCTTTTCTCCGCTCCTCAGATCGTTATAGATAGCACCTTTGATGCCCAAATCTATGTAAATGTTTAACAGGAAGTGGACATGTTTAGTGTCTAAGCAGATCGGAGATCACGGGCTGATTTCTGAAAATAACGTTAGAGTGAGTATCCTTATATCAGGCTTCATAAACGTCCTACTTTTCTGTAAATCGTCCTATTATGTCCTCCTTTCCGGATTTTCTCCTACTTTTTTAATTTTCTGTGTTTTTAGTAAGTTCACAGGTAAAAAGACATTTTTCTCCTACTTTTCACTAATGAACCTTTTTAGTTTTGCGTTTAAAAACTGCACATGACTCAATGCTAGCTGCTCATGTCAAAACTCGATATAAATTCTTCTCTCCTAACCGTCTAAAAATCATATATAAATCCACTCAGGGTACCTTCCACGAACTGGTCTAACTTTGTTTTTAAAAAGATCTATTTTAAACAGTTAGGAGAAAAGAATTTATATCGAGTTTTGACATGGGTAGCCAGCATTGAGTCATATGCAGTTTTTAAACGCAAAACTAAAAAGGTTCACTTGTGAAAAGTAGGAGAAAAATGTCTTGTCCCATACATAATACCTATTTTCCAGCCATTTTCACAAAATTATGTATATTTTTTCTCCATTAATATGAGCCGATGAAGATAAAAAAGCATGCCACCAGATGTAACTTTCAATGCTCTATTCAACCATATATGAATTATTACATTTGGTCAACGGATCAAAACCGAGGAGAAAGCCAGTAGGAGACGGATCTCAAATACAGTGCTTTTCGTAAAGTGCGTGCAAAACCATAAAAAAACATAGCACAGAACTCGCTGACGTCTCATTTTAATAAAATTTTCCTCCGGACAGCATAGTCGGTGCTGTGACGGAGCTTCTCTTAAAAGCTAAAAGCTACTTTACCTACTTTTTGATATAAATTCTACCATAACAGGCTTCAAAATCCTACTCCTGCTCCTACTTTTTGATTTTTGCTATTACGAAGCCTGTTATATATACTATATATACTAGCACATTTAAGCGACTGATGTTCTAGTGACAGAATCTTAGCTTAAATGTAGTTTGATATATTTTATATTATGACGTTGCGTGAAAAAAGTGCGCTTCTCATCCCAAAATTCAATTTATTATCTAAAACGTCTTTTATGAGTTTTAAAGTTTAGTGCTTAGTACAAATTAAGATAAATTAGCTACTGGACAATACTAATAACGACATTCTAAGAACATTTGATAAAACAGAATTTCAATTTGATTCGAATGAAAATCGTACGGAATCGTTCAACTATCACTTTGAGTAGTGTTTTGCTAGTAATAAGATCATTTTTCAATAAACGTTGGTTGTTTTATAATTGTAACATTTGAATACTGTATGAATTACCAACAGCGCTAGTACAGGAGTCGAGGCACTAGTACTTTATTCTTTTTAATCTATGTGTGTTTATTTTTAGTTTCAGCTTAAATTGCGAGGGTTTAGTGCAGTGAATCTGTTTTGTAATTCACACTATACTTTCTTCATGTTAATTTTAAGGGATTCTGTTGGATTTCAAAATAAGCCAAACCAAAACGTTATCTATCAGGTTTTGTAGAGCGTGCAATGACGAATTTAATGCACTGACGAGAAAAGGGCCCCAAGTTGCAAATCACTTTTGGATGAAACTAAGTAGACTATATATAATTGATGATGCTGATTCCAAATATGAACATCGAAGTTGCCATTAGACTTTTGTTGACCAGTTTTCTGAAAACTGTATCTTTAGAAAACCAGAGACCAAATACAGAAAATTTTTCTGATCAGTCATTTTGTAGAGAACGCAAAACTGTCTATGTTCCATAAGTTTTCGTTTTTCAAGATAACATTGAATGATACTATGATTTTTGCAAAGTATCCCACTGCAACATTTTTTCATCGAAACCAACGTAGCCGCTCTTTTTGGGAAATTTTCCTACGCTGTTGACTTTTGTTTTGAGAAACTAAAAGTTACTGAACATAGTCAACTTTATGTCCTCGAAACAATGGCCGATTCAGAAAAATTTTCTGGATTTGGTCCCTGGTTTTCTGAAGAGCTGGTTTTCTGAAAAATAGCCAACAAAAGCCTAAGGACAGCTTCGATATTCTTACTTGGAATGTGAATAATGTATCTGCAAAAAGCTGTGATCGATCAAAAATAGGTCATTTTTTTTACCAAAGTAAAATAAAACTAGTCTAACTCAGCAACAAGCCACCGGTGGCAGCTAAAAATATCATATTTATGATCAGTGGACTTAGCTCTACCAGACCCCATGTATTTCTCCAAAATCCCACCGGGACAATTCAGGATATTCCCTCGTTATTTTCATCAAAAAAATGATTTGCAACTTGGGTCCCTTCCCTCGTGAGATCAGAGGATCACGATCGTTCGTTATCTTTTTACTATATGCTTTAAGAAGAAGAAGTGGTGTATGATGAGGAAGGACCGTAGAACTTTCTCGTGCTTATAATTTTGTAGAGTAATAAACGCTCTATACACCTATTATTTATCGGACGTTTGGGGTCAGTTTTTGGAGCAGACAATAGGTCATTTATGAAAAACTATTTAATTATAATTATAAATTAATTAAGTTTAGAAATGGATTGATTACGCAAAAAATCGATCATATTTATTCTACACGTAAATACTAAAATGATCTGAAAAAACTGAACAGCATGGAAAATCAGGTTCTAATCAGAAACTGCGAGTGTGAGCTCTATCTACCATATTAATTTCTTAGTCTAAAACTGTATGCCACTAGTGGAAATTTTTTTTAATGAAAGAAGTATCTTAAAAAAGATACTTGCATAAATGAATCTCGACCATGTGTGCTCAATTTTAGTCACTAACAAATTCTAATGCCATATTTGAAATCAGCGAATAAAACTGAATCGAATAGGAGGCCATATGTGCGTTAAAAATATAAGTTATTTTATAACATCTTAGATACGTCAACGATGACTCTTAACGAGCGTATCTTTAGAAAGACAAATGTCTATTAATCGAGTTGAGTCTAGTTTTGTAGATTATTGAATTCTGAGCAAAACATTTGGATTTCGCTTCTCGCAAAAAGAAGTTTTAGAAACATTTTAATGTAGACTAGACATATAGAGATGCTTGTCGAAAGTTACGTTCTTTTCCGAAATGTTGCGTTCCTATATTGTAACAAAAATAAGCTGTTGTATTGTAAAAAAATTGACAAAAAAATGATTTCAACTTGAAACAGAAAAACTATAGCAATGATGTCCAGTGAACATGCTTTCAGATTAAGGTACGTATAATTTATTTTAATACATTTTTCACCTTATTTTTTCTGTTGTATTTAGACGACTCAAAAATTATGCACAAAATCTTCCTATGTACTATCTTAAAATTTGTATTTGTATATTTAGCTATTCTTTATATGTAATTGATATATTCTCAACTCGGTTTTAGTAATCAAGGTGATAACTACAGACATACAATCGCTTCTACTAATAATAATGAAGTGTCAGCAACAATTAATACATTCAGTAAGAGTAAAACAGCCTTAAATAGCTCTCTCTTTAGCCCTTTTTCAAACAGTTAGTTGTAAATTATAAATGTTGAACAACCTCATTTTTAATGTCAGAATAACCTTCTTTTCTCCAATTTGTCTTTGAAATGAACAAAATTTATTCATATTTTTACATTCTTTTCGACAAAAGGTCTTCCTTCTAAATAAACTACTTCGAATGAAATCTCAATTAGAATTCAACACTACAATGATTTTCTTCAATGATATTCAATCTAATAGTGTAACTAGTTTTGTCTTTGTCACTTTTTACTATTCTTTTATTTTGTATGTGTCTGTAAATACTTGTTAAAACAAAATGAGAATTCATTTGAGATTTGTTAAGTGTTAAATTATGTGTTATATTTAATAACGATTTTTTTTCTCCAACAAAAATGTCATAGAAATGCATTGTCGAGTAAAATGAATGCGTTTCTTCTGTAAGACAAAGACATTACTATCATAAAAATCGATATTCTCTTCTTTTATTGATAGGATGAGTTGTTATATCAACTCGTTCTGTGCCAATGAACATCACAGATTTATTGATGATAATTAATATATTGTCTTTTACTCAATTTATGTCCTTTCACCACATTCTGCAAACTTTTCTTCTAGCTGTTATTATAGAAGGAAGTAAAAGAAAATATTAGCTATACGTTGTTGTTGTTATTATAGTGATGCATCATCACGGAAGAAAAATTGTCCATACGCATATTTTTGTTATACCAATGCTCGTCAACTGTCAAATTTGGATTGTCCTAAAAGAAAAATAACAATAACATATTTTAAGGTTACCTAACTCATAAAAGTTAACGGGAAAGAGTTAAAAGATGATATCTACTTACATGACGTAGATGAGGATCAGATATAACGACACCAGGTGTTACAAATGGTACATATGATGTGCCAGTTAACTGTGATGATCGTCCATTGCTCATATTGAATACATCATTAAAAGAATTTGTAAAATTTTTCATTGAATTTGATGATAGTTCTCGTGTAAATGGTGTATGCGCTTGCTTTTCTTGCTTACGATGTTTAGCACGACGATTTTGAAACCAAACCTAAAATGTAATGTCATCATTCGAATAAGACAAAAGAAGTATATGTATTGCGTTTGATTACGCTCATTAGAGCAAAAGAAAACGAAATCAGTGTCAACACTTTAGATGACATGTGGAAATACTTAAGAATACATTTTTATTATAGACCTCCTGTTAGGCTGAAATGACACCCATAACATACTCCCATATGTTCAATTTTTTTCTTTTTTTCTCTTTCTTGCTACTAGTCCGTTGTTTTTTTTGGAAATGACGAACAAGAGTGTATTGAACAGAATGGATAGAGACCATTTGTTCATTTATAAACTCCTTGTGATAAAAAAAAATATAGCGGCACTTTTTATTAGGAGTGAGAATTCATGTTAGAGAATGTAACAAGAAAAAAAAGACGAGTGGAAGAATAATGATTGATGTCATGTTCATGTTTCATTTCTAAAGTGTGAACAAAATCTGTTAGAATATTACACACACGATGTTTCCATGTTTTAGACGGTTAAATGATTTTCTTAATTGATTAGTTATGAATACTGTAAAGAACATGAGATAGACGCGTGCCAAACCGGGCGTAAAATCGGAAATCAGATTACATATATCGCCAAATGTTCCGTTTTGGGATTACTATTGAGTTCTCAAGAGAATTTATAAAGCAAGTTTAAACTCTCAATTATAGTTCTGGTTGTAAAAATTGGTTAACTAATAGACAGAATATAATGAGATTTCTTTACCTCAACTTTTAAATATTTCATATTTCCTAAAAGATAATGGCGAAATTAGAGCATATCTCTTGCAGATTTATATTCGAATAAATTGGATATTTTTCTGTTAACATACATGAGAAGTAGTGAATTTTCTAACATTAGAAACTAACCTGAATCCTGGCTTCATTCAATTTTGTCACTCTGGCCAATTCTTCTCGACAATAGATATCAGGATAATGACTTTTAGCAAATGCTGCTTCTAATTCAATTAATTGTTCTTGTGAAAATGTTGTTCGATGTCGTCGACGTGCTGCTGACGTTGGAAATTGTAATCGTCCAGTACAGACATTTGGATGTTGAGATTCACAATGCATGGAGTTTTGAACGAGATTAATTGTTGGTTGTTTAGGTTTTTTAAATGCACCATTGTTTACTTAAATAAAAAAAAAGTTGCAACTTATACGTTGAGTTTAAATCTAATTTATTTCCAGAAACTAATGTTCTACTGCTCACGCAGACTAAAACGTGGAATACGAGCAGTTTGTTTTGCTTACTCTTGCATAAAGACGTGTTATAATTGTCTAACATGAATACAAGATTTGCCCTGTTATTTCTTTCAAAGTTAAAAGCGTGGATTATAAATATAAACAAGAAATAATATAGTCATAGCTGTTAAATTCACATTATATCGGATAGTTTCGTTATTCGTCTAAATCAGCAGGAAGAATAGTTGAATGGTTTAGATTAGCATAAATAAAGAAAGAGAGAGAGAGACAGAGAGAGAGAGAGAGTGCAGAAAAATAAATGGAAACGAACAAAAGAAAGAAAAAAAAATGATACTCACTCTATATTTCGCTCTTCAACTTAGACAAACGATAGATAAAAGAAAATGGAAACGGAAAATGTTTTCACGACCAATGATAAATTAAGTGAAATGTTAGAGCGGAAAGTTTGATGTTTGATTATTGTTCGTATAGAAGATCATAATTGCAATTAACATCGATTGTTTTCTAAAAGAATTCACTTCATGTGATCTGTAAAAGCATAAGATAAACTGCAAGATTTCTTGGAGAGCACATTATCCCTCAAAAAAACCTACAATAAGTTAAAGCATGAGTGTGATACAATGCAGATGAATTGAACAAATTGCTTAGCAATTTTATAAGTGTTCAACTTGAATGATTATAAATACGTGCGAGATCGTGCTAGAATAGAAAACTAAGACAACTAACAGCTTAATGGTCGATGAATGATAATTTTAGAGAATTGACATTATTTAAAGATATTGCACACTAGTTTTGTTTTAAGTCATAATTTTCGGAGAGAAGAGTAAAAACTCTCATATTATATGATATTCAAATCTTCATCCGTAGTACGTGGAATTGTAAAATTATATGTCTGAAGTAAAACTCTACATACCTGAGACACTCTATGTTACTTGTTAAATACTTGCTGGTCTTGTCCCAGATATTCTCAACAGTATATGACTATCTTCGTTGAAAAATAATCTTTTTTTCTACTTTTTATCTCAGCTTCTACGCCTTCATCGTTGAACAAAAAAATATATTCGTTGGTTTTTTTTATTCTATTTTTTATCTTATGAAGTGGTCAAAATTGAATTTGGACAATTTGATTACTATGACATGTGTAAAGTAAAAAAAAAAAAAAATAGACGAGAAAACAGTTGAATGTATCGAAAAATACGATCGAAAACGTTACCTTTACAAGAAAGATTTTTGTTCGTATATAATCGAAATTATTTTATCATAATTTTGTACAAAACAAAAAGAAAATTGAACGTTAATTTTGTTCAATATAATAATCATTTTAATATTTAACATTATACTTAAAACAAATATTGGTCTTTTATTGATTTTTGTTTTATCTAATTGCTTTGATGATATTCATCAAAAAGAGAACAAAATGCATTATTTGGTTTGAGGTGTCTGTATGAAAAACTGAATATTAAATTATCGAGAGGATAAATGAAATTATTGCATAAAATTTTTGAGAGAAAAAGATGACGGAAAAAAACTGAGAAAAATAAGTTAATCAAGTGGGAGATATTTCACTGCTCTTCGCCTTCCTTTTTGAGTATATATTTTATTCTTTTTTTGTTAATTTATTTATTTTTTTGTACGAAAAACATATAATATCAACATTCACTGTATGTATAGAAAAATTTTGAACAATTGAGAACAAAGTATGCGTTTATAGTTAGTTATTAAGGTCCTGCTGATATCCTTTGCGCACACTGTTCATTTTTCTCTGCTTATAAATTACATTGGGCAAATTATTCTTTCTATGCTGGATAATGTAACATAGAATTTGATAAACCATGATCAACACGAAAAGAGGATAAACTTTTATTATACCAGTCATCTTGAAATGGAAGATTATCCTATAGAAGAAAATAATATTGTAACTTATAGACCATGAGAAATTTTATGAATATAATTTTTACCTGTCTAATACCCATATTACTCAAATTACTAGCTGTAATAGGAGAAAGTTGTGGCATTGATGAATAAGCACTTGATGCCATTGAAATTGAACTCATCGGTGGATAACGGCTCATTGAATTAATAGGATTTGGTAAACTACTACCATATTGATAGGGGCGACCAGCTGAGTTTTGATAGAAATTACGCATCATTGCATTACATGGTGATAAAACAGGTGATAATGCTTTTTGTAATTGTTTCTCTTGTTTTCGATACTTAGCACGACGATTTTGAAACCAGACCTATTAATAAGAGAAAAAAAGAGTCATGCATCCCATATTGAATGATTAATCGTGATCAATAAGGAATTTTATATAGAAACTCGCAATTAGTCGTCAAAAATTATGATTAAATCGTTCTTTTTTATACCGTTGTATTTTGCAACTTGCGGTGGTATTTAATTGGCACTCGAAAAAAATTATAAATTATTTTTCTTCTACCTTGTAACCTATATCAGTCGCTTGAAACTACTGGTACGCTCTTATAGTCGCCGATTATTGGACAACTTAAAAGATAAAACCAAATCAATCGCATCGAAATTTACACTACTAGCCCCTATCTAGAGTTATCTGATATACTCTGACAGCTTTTGTTAATGTGAAATGGATCGTAATTCACTATTCCTGCCTACATGAAAGAAATTATTGAAATAAACGATTCTAATGATATAGAATACAAGAAGACTAGATATAAGCTAGGTGATTCAAATTTTATTGTATAAAACAGACATATGATTTGATTCTACCTGTTGATTCTACGGATGTTTTAAAAAAGATGACTGGAAATTTGTTTATATCGTCTATAGTTTTCCTAGTGACGTGTGATGAACCAATGACAGAGAGCCTATTCCGAACAAATAAGAAATATTTATGTATTTCAAAGAAAAGTAGTGCTGCCGTTCGAGTTTTGTATTCCATTAACAGTTATTTGCACTCATTTCTATTTTAAATTGCGTAAGTCAACGAAAGTAAAACTGTGGAAGATTAGGAATATTATATACAGATGAGATTTAATTTGAGCTGTGATACTGTTATATCAATAATAAGAAACTAAGTAGAAAGTTTATAAGAACTTCTTGTTTTTGTGGTATACAATATATTGTTTTTCTTTACTATAAAGATAAATAAATAATTCCAGAAACAGTTCATTAATACATTACGACTAACACATTTAAATATTTTTTTCTTAATTTAGAACATTTTTAATCAGTAATTCTCTTGTCATCTTGATAACTGGTAGATTCTCCAGCTAACGGAAAGATTTTTTTGAGCGTATGTATTCATTAGCTATGCACGAAATATTGAATGAGGAAACGAGGCCGAACTAAAGTAGTAGTAAAATGAATAAATTTTCTTTTTCATCTTATTGAGAGAGAGCAAAAAATATCAATGTTTTTTCTTCTTCTTCTACTGTTTCATTCCATCACACAGAAAACATTAAATAGAAAACGAGTTTCTTGTTTTTTGTCTTTTTTTCTCTCTCTCTCTTAGTCTCTAGTGTATTTGACGCGAGAAATAAAGAAACCTCCATCATCATCTTCTAACAAACTTCGGTTGAACGCACATACTCATTAGAAACTATTCTTATATACCAACAAGAAAAAAAATGATGGACTTATAATTGAATTAATAATTTTTTCACAAGAAATGTTTTCCATCTATATTTATGATGACGAGTATAGAGTACTATATGTCTCCGTTTTCTTTCTACATTTGACGTAGATATATACACATTGCTACAAGCTATATCATCAATATTCGCTTCACGAAAGCAAATATGAAGATTGACAAAACATTTCCTCTTATCTATCAAAATTTACAATACATGTCTAAAACTAAAAACTAGTTGCACATACGCTTTTTATGAAAGCTAAAAAAAATCTTATTCAGAATGTAGGGTTGTTTGTTATAGTTCAAAAACATTTGTTTATTAGAACTGAAAATAAAGATGCACTAGACCGATCATTCCAAGAAAACTTGTATGGAGAATATATTCTATGAATAGTTAGACTTAGATAGCTAACGATTAGTTCCGCTGCGAAAGTTTGACTTTTTTCTCAGATAGATCGAAACATATGTCGTTTAACGTGTTTGAAAGAATTGCAGTTGATATGTATCATTCCAGAAAAAATTATGGTCAAACTTCTATCTCTCGTTCTACCTACCCGATTTCAATAAAAAATTTTATGTCACTCTACCCTAGTTACACTGCTAAAAGTACGGTTCTATCTCTCATCCGTCCCGGGATATTTCTAAAACTGCACATTTTTCATGATATTTTGTGTGGCATACCTCTGGTGACCGCAACCAAATCCTTCCTGTATATATTTTTTTAACTCTTTTTTAAACTATTTTTGTGATTGGGTAGAGAATTGTTTAGGTTACACAACTATATAATTTATTTGTAAAGATAACTTTGCCTACCGTGCGAAAAAGCCCGCAGATGAGAAAAAAGCTAAAAAATAGTAACATCATATTTCGCGCAATATTTTTGCCAGATAAACTTCATTAAAATTCATCGAAGCCTGAAAAGTAAAGTATACTCAGTTTAAAACGTAATTTTGCAGCTAAAAAGTAACGTCACGCTTCAGTCTTGTTCCAACTGCAAAAACTGATTCCAATCGTCCTAGAGAAAAGTTTCTTTTGTAGTCCTATGCATCTAGTCGGGCTCTACATTTTGAGGGAAGAAAAGCATATTTTTGATAGAAAACTGCCAAAACCAAATCAAATCCAGCTTTTCTATACACCAATCGAAAGCTCTCGTTGAGCAGAAACTAGCCGTGCACTTCCCGGGAACTTTCAGTACCTTAAGAATCACACAAAAAACGGGGCTTAGCCCGTTTTTACACCGTCTCAAGGATGAACTCGAAAATTTTGGAGTTTTAACTTTCTCTTATGATTAATCGTAGGAAAAATATCGTTTTCTATCTCCCTGGAAGATTCGCTACTTGTAACAGTCGGCTTTCTTCGAATTATTATCAGTTTTTCGAAAAAAATTTCATCGAAACGGTACACATCAACTGCAATTCTTCCATTTATCATGCTAACAGACAAACTTAATAAATGATCAAAAGCACAACCCAAGCGAAAAAATGGAATACTATGGTAGTTCTCAATTAAATTACAGTGCAATCATATTGGCCAAGTCGAGCACAGGTTATAAAGAAAAAGGTTTGAGTTCTCACTTGAATTCGAGCTTCATTCAATTTTGTTACTCTGGCCAATTCTTCTCGACAATAGATATCGGGATAATGACTTTTGGCAAAGGCAGCTTCTAACTCGGCCAGTTGTTCTTGTGTGAATGTTGTTCGATGTCGTCGACGTGCTGGTGTTGGACAAGTGGCCGGATTTTGTAATGATTGTGATGAATGACTGGAATTAGAGGAATGTGGAGATAAACTTGGTGTTTGAATATTCAATATGTGTGCTGATGGATGATGTGAGTGATGATGGTGTGATGAATGGGGATGATTGATTGACAACGATTCATGTTTGATTTTCTTAAAGGCCCCATCGGATTGCACTAAAAACAAAACACAAAAAATAGGCATATAAACTCGTTTTGTCAATGACTGAAATCATACCTGATGTGGGAAATTGTGTAGTATTAATCATGTTTCCATTAGATGGTACTGACGATGAGGCCGATAATGTTGAAAATGATGAAGCGGGATTATTTCGATTAATAGAATAAAATGTTGAATATTCATCGGCTGATAATTTAAAATTGGCTGCTGCCATACTTGCAGCGGCGGCCACAGCAGCTGCTGTTACATTTGCCGGATTGGTAACTGTTGCTATAGATGACGACGATGAAGTAATTAATGATTGATCAAGAAATTGATGATGAGGATGGTGATTTGAAATTGTTCCATGTAATAAATTTGTATTTAAACATGGTATTGCTGGATGTTGTCTACTACTTCCACCATGATTCGTGCCGGTGTTTAATGTTGATGTAATTGACATGTACTGTATACTTGTTAAAATAAGATTATGTATATATATTGTTCTATTTCTATTATTAATTGTGTTAGAGGCCACTTAATTTTTTTGTATTTAATTACTTATTATTTTAACAATCTTAAAAATATGATTTAGAGACATATGTATTTTTTTTCTTCTCTCTCTCTCAATCTATCTCTTTATCTTATATAATGTTCTTATAATTTGAGGTGACTAATCAAGTTAACAAATCAACACTTAAATTCCTTGTTATTTGCTGAGAGGTTCGAGTAATTGAAAGCGAAAACGGAAAAGTTCGTAATGCTAGATAGATAGATGGATGGATCTAATAAAACAATATTACAAGAAGAAAAAAAAAGAACTTTTTTTTAACGAATGAGAGATTTACTACATCGATGTCTGCATATATGTGTATGTATGTCTATTTACTATCGTCATCCATGCTCATTATCGTCACATCACTTGAGATTTTGAAAATAATCGTCAACGACAGTTTCTTTTACCATTTAGGGCCTCTCTAATCTCTTTGCACACGATGATTACAGACGGAACGAAAAAAAAAAAATAGTAACAATCTAAACAGAATACGATAAATTTCTCATACTTTCATTAAAAAAAAATATTTCTCATCTCTGCTATTGGTTCGACTATTTCTTTTTTCAGTACCATACTCGATTGGATGAAAAGACTGTCAACGTTTGTTGTTTCTAGATCAAAACATTAAAAACATATTGAACAAGAATTTTTATTGATTGATCAACCAAATGTCTATTAGAAAATAGATCAAATAATTTGTAGTCTACTTATATCAGATTAGAAATCTATGTTTGTAAAAACATTTCATGCACAATAAAGAAATAAGAAGTTATAATGTTTTGAAAATTTTACCACATATTACAGTGAGATGACATTTTTCTCACATTTCATAAATTCAAGACAATCTCATTATTAAAGTTGTACCGTAATTTGAGTTTCCCATCTTTTAACGATATTTTTGTCTCCTGCGATGCATGAATCTTGTACTGTTATTTTTATGCAATAATCAACGAGTACGTAACCATCCATGATGTAGAATGTTAACATTTGGAAATTTATCAATTTGATGATTTAGAAATACGAAATTCATCTTAATATCCATTTAAACTCGTTGAAAATTGTTTTTTACATGGCATGTTATTATTTCAAACACTTTCCTATCTTAGTGGATAGTATAACTAGCATAGGATTATGTTTGACTACAGTTTGTATAGTTACAAAGATCTTTGAATGAGTGTTCTAGAAAACTGTACTTCTTATATTATGTGCAAACGTTGACAAAACACTGCATTTGTCTATTTTTTCTACGAAAATGTTATTTTTTTTGGAACTATAATTAACTCCTTCAGTGGCCGATGCAGAAAATTTTTTGTGTGGCAGAGGGTCTGTGGACAATTCAAAAATCATAAAAAATATTTTTTTTGCTGATGGAAAACGAAAGTTTTCTGTTCTTGTAAAAGAGGACGGTTTTCACACGCTCCACTCCCTAAATTCATCGCTAGATTTTTGTTCAATGTCATTTTAAAGAAATACGTCATTCTTTAAAAAATTCTATCTCATGATGTATTGTTTCTTTCGAAATAGATTTCTGCTACTTTCTCTACCGCCATAGCAATATTAATTAATAGATATCCGATCAAACTTCTTCTCATCCATTTTGAAAAGTAATATTTAGCGATTATTATAATGCAGACTAGCATAGAGTTAATAGAGAGAGTAGAGTTTTATAAATACAATAAAACTGACTGAAAAGAAATTAATATCACGAAAGCTTAATATAAAAGCCATAAAATGAAATTTTACGAACACAAAGGTAAATTTTTTGATAGAAGCGTTTTTAATAATCCGATTCTTAGGAAGTATATCTAAACGAGATAAAGCACACTTTTAGATATATTTTGTAGAGAATTGTACGGAGAATATTTTATTTTAATGAAAGAATCAAGTCAAATCAGTGATACTAAACGGGTAACATTTATTCTAGAACATCCGTTATACTTTAGAGTGGAAATTTTTTATTCTTCTTGTCAAATGTTATAGACAAAATATTGTCTATCTATAATTACTAGAACAGGTTTCTTCTCATTAGGACTCTCGTGCACATATCAAATAACTTTTCGTTGATTGTTCTACAATTGCCACAAGCATTCTTTCTCCTAGTTTTTTTGTCTATTAGAATATATGAAATATAAGTGAGAGAGAAAGACAGAAGAGAGAGAGAGAGCATCCCTACTGTGCAGTGATGGACAGCCAAATGGCATCATTTCACAGATAGCTAGTAGAACAGAAATAAAACGCGCTCAAATGATGACAAATTTTTATAAACTAATATTACAAAAAGAATTACAACATAATTTCACACATCTGCAAATACACAAAGGGAGAGATATAAAGAAAATAAAACAAATAATAACAAGTAGCGATCATTCCTGAAAATGAAAAATATAAGTTCAAGAGTAGGGAAGGTTAACCCAAGTATTTGTATCTAATCATTTTGTTATAAAAATATAAACTGTTAATTAACATGAAGTAAATGATTGTTTATAAACTGCATACAATTACATGTAGATCACGTCAAATAATATAAAACTAATTATTATATTGAGAAATAAATTTTGAAAGTGAATTAACTGTCTTATAATACAATAATAAACGGATCATATTTCAACACACTGTTTTGTAGTTTTATAAATAGATGAAAGCAATATTTTTACTATTATTATACATTTATTATTTATTTCAAATGGTTATGATGACAACCACTAGTAATGCTACTACAAAACAAAAACCATGTTGCGAAGTGAAAAAAACATATTAGCGTTCCTTTAGTTTGTCATTCTTGTTTTCACAGAACAATTGTTACATATCATTTCAGTTTAGTTTAGTTTAATTTAGCAAAGCTATGGCACAAGAAAAAAACAGAACAAAACTATTCGCTTGTATAGAAAATCTAACGAAAGTTGGCACTTACCTTCATGTTTACACGAAAAAACGATGAAGAAAAAATATAGACAAATAAACTAACAACATCATTTATTGATTTCAAATCTGCATTTAATCAAATGAACTCTCGTTTATTATGTATTAGATTATTTGAATTGGGTGTTTCTATTCAGTACATTAAATGGATATACAATTGGTTTATGAATCGTCAAGTATTTATTTATTTCAATGGGAAATCATTCAATAACATCAGAATAGATAAAGGAACACCACAAAGCGATCAATACTTAGCCGATTACTGTACATATTGATTCATGTCAAAACAAATGTCTACTTTATTTCACCCATTTGAACATCATTTATTTGCAGATGATTTAAATACTGTTTTGACGCCACCATTACATTTAAAATATAATGAAATGATTATCACAGGAAAAAGGATAGCATATTCTGCATAAATGAACAGTTTATTGACAACTATCTCAACAGTCGATGAGTGTAAAAAAATCAGAACTTATGCTATTTTTCATTCAGTTTCGTCGACCAACAATTACTCTTAAGTTAGGAGATGAAATACTGAAACAGGTAAAACACTTCAAATATCAAGGTTATATTTTCACGGACAACGGTTGACCTAGGGTCTGACTCATTTCGAAAGAAAAAACAGAAGAAAAAGTTTCGTAGTATTTTTGAAACCGCCACCATGTAGAGCAAAATATCTCCCGAAATTTTCACTACTATCGAATCGGTTTTGCTGGAGTTATGGAGCATTTAAATTCATCTGGTAATTGATAGTCATAGAAAATAACTAATTACTAAAAATTTTGCAACTCCTCGAAAACTCATTCGATAGACATGAAACTTTGTGGACATATTTAACTCAATATTCTCTACAAGCTAGCCACATCAGAATTTTGTTTTGAAGAAAAAACCTAGAATCAAAGATTTCTGGAAAATCTTGGTTTTCCAAAATCCCATCATGGGTAGAAACGGTGTTCATATTCGTAATCAGTCTCAACTACATATACTTCGATAGATTTTGGGCAAAAGTCGATTGTGCATCTGACAAGGGTCTCTCGCAAGTACATTGTATTTATCAAAATTAATTTACAGTTTAGTTAAATGCAAAACTGGTACTTCTTCAAATAACGTTACAATAAAAACACATAAAAATAATCAAAAAACAACTTTTAACTCTGCTAAACCCGTTGTCGAATCACATCCTTGATACCATACTAAAAATCGATTTTCATCTATTTGTTTCCAACCTTCAACAAACACCACCAACGGTGTTAATCCAAGATCTTTCCAATCTCCAGATTCATTATCACATCTTTCCCAATCAAGCTCAGGAGAGAAGATGGGCTCTTCGCTACGTGCAAGAACATTCAACGGATCGTTACCATCTAGAATTACCCAACCTAAATTATATTCCAGTCTCCAGCCAGGTTTTGGATTCGGTATCGTTGTTTGACGAGCAGAATTGTAGAGAAACAAGTAGTTACCATCACTTAAACGCAATGGTTCCGGTCCAGCTTCTACTAATTCTGAATCAAAATGAGTATTTCGTACATCAAATAACAGATTACCTGTATGTTCGTAATGTATGAAATCTTTAGAAACAGCAACGGCGACATTTGAATCATTAAATAAAAGATAACTATATGTTTCATTATGAATCAAAAGTGAACCACTTTTACTCCAAAAATAATCAGCGAAAAGTGGTCCATGGTATTGCCATGATTCTTTTTTCAATGGGTCACTAGTTGTATTGCATGTTGCTAATGCCAGTTGAGCTCGCCAATCACCTGTTTCCGTTTTACTAACAGCCGTATAAAATCTAAAACAAAAGACAAGTTGCAATTATGTGTCTGATGAAATTTTTTATACTTACAAATAATAAGTATTGTTGTACAATACAATACGTGGATCTTCTGCACCCGTATTTTGATAAGGTTGATCATCAGGATCAATGATAACATCTTCTTCACGTATATATGTGTATTTTAACTGATTACCATCGATACTTTTACTAATTGCGATTTTACTTGGTGCAACATCATAAATTGTTTTCGCATTGGGTAACAAATTTTGAACTCGAACAGCCAAAATCATTGTGTTAGCATCATTTCTCATGGGCATATAAGCAGTGTTATAATTATATAAAAAATCAGATTGATTGCTCCATTTAGATATCACAGGTTGAGAAGATAAACGGTCCATTTGAATTCGGGGCGGTCGATAGTTCATAGCTGTCATACCCGAGACAAATGTAATGAGACATGGAAAGACAACGTATACGTACCAACAAATCATTGTGAACTAAAATGACGAGTTACATACAGTTTCATTTTAAACTTTAAAAAATAAATATTTACTTATTTACTACAGCAAGACTAATGTTCATCACAATCTTTTCAAAAATGATAAACAAAACGAGATGTTATTAGTCAACAAAAAAAGATTCTGTCCACCAGAATTCCTACTGTCCTGTTCTTTTCCAGCCTTCATCAACCGTCTCATTTTTTAAAAATATGGAGTGGTCTATAAATTTCTAATTCTCACCGATGAAATAATTCATCGTGCAGTGACACTTATATTTTAAGTACATTGAGATAACGATGTTTGTTTTATCGATGATAAAACTACAGAATGATATTTATACCTTTGGTTTTTTCCTTCCTATACAAACTCGTTCAAGAACAACTTATAGACGTTTATGAAATTTGTTAAACAAATTTATTAAATTTTCCAGTTAAGAAGATGTTTGTTTAAACAATGAAATGAAAAATCTTGCACCACTTTTTCCTGCGAACAAAATTTTAACCAAAACAGCGTATACCTTTTCCCTTTTTTGTGAATGATAACAAGGTAGATTTATTGTTGTTAAAACCGTGTATTTGACATTTATTTAGGATAATCCATTAAAATATCAAGAAATAAACTCATTATTTGAGAATAAAATACATAAGTACAAAAACAAACTATCGTATTGTGGTGATAATTAGAAGGACATCATCATTTTTGTAGTGGTTAACTCTTTCATTCTTCAGAGAACTATGAAATATGATTTAAGCTTTTTTCAGATAAAACAAAACAATTTTTGAATTTAATCCACAACAAAGAAAGGAAATTTTTCTTTAGATTTCCAAAATGAGTGTGAGTTTTATCAAAATGCACTTAGATTTTTCTTCATTATTTGGTTTAAAACATCGAATGTATATCTAGTACTCAAGTGCTGAAAAAACTATAGCATTAAGATTAAGTGTCTACGAGTATAAATGTCTAACGAGGGAACCTTGTGAGGTGCTAAAAAACTTTTTGAACGCGACTATTTTTAAAATGTAGGCCCTCGTGAGCTATGAAGAACCCCAGCTTTGTTGCTGAGATATTGAATTTTCCCCATGGGACCTGGATTTCAAGCAAAATCAGAATTCTGAATTTCATGTTGAAACTTATCGCATTTTGCATCCCAGATCATCTGTAGTCCGATGAAAAAAGGTCGAGCTGAAAACCCCTTTCCACTGTGGTGAAAGAACGTTTTCCGTATGGGCCTTTTTCATCGGGCTACAAACGGTCTGGGCTGCAAAATGCGATAAGTTTCAACATGAAATTCAGAATTCTGATTTTGGTAGAAATCCAGGTCCCATGGGGAAAATTCGATATCTCAGCAACAAAGCTGATTGTGCCCGAACCAAGTTGGAGTTCTTCATAGTCCATGAGAGCCTACATTTTAAAAATAGTCGCATTCAAAAAGGTTTTTAACATCTCCGGAGGTTCCCTCGTAAGTATGCATAGGGTAAGGAATAGTAGAAAAAAAAGCAATAGTTTTGCGAAACTGTGAGCAATGAATTTAAAAAATGTTTAAAATTTCATGATATGAAATATGAATGCGGTGGTCTATTTTTATTCATTGTGCTACAACTTGCCTACATCCTTGAGTTGTTCGTGTATTTTTATTTAAGAAACACGACTACATAAAAAATATGTTCTGACCTTACGTTACTTTAAATGTTACGAGTAAGTACAATATTTTGCAGAAATAATTTATCACTTTTCACAACGATTTTCATACTCAGAAGAATAATCATAAAATAAAACAATCAGCATTGGAAGTTTGTTTATAGGTTGATACAAACGAAAACTATTTGTTCTTATTTAAAGTCAATATGGATTAACACAAAAGAATAAACAAACAGGAACACAAGTACAGTATGGAATGGTGTTTTCAATTATTGTAACTAGTTTTTGTTCTTAATAAAAATTGTTGCAAAAAGTGATAAATTATTTTTCCAAAATATTGTACTAATAGTTTACACGTAAAATTTTGATGACTCAAAACAAAAAACATTCTAGTATCAGTGCGTGTTAGTTTTGATATTAAATAAAAATAAGAAAAATGACAGCAGTAAAATAACGAAAAAGAGAGTAGACACATAAAAATGAATAATAAATAATAAATAACAACAACAACAACGACACAAATCCATCGTATTCACATCTAATTTTGAGATTTTGTTATGGAATACACGTTAGTGTTAACATGAGAATAAGAGAGTAAATATCACTGTACTAATTAAAAAAAGCTCATTCTAACAGAGGAAAAAGATAACAAACCCAAAAACAGCATGAAAAGTAAAATATAAAGAGTTTTGACCAAATTCTCTTGCATTTCATTAAAACTACAGAAAAGCGCTTGAAAAATTACAGATAAATCTAGATACCGGCAGTAATGGAATGGAATTATTTTTGTGATCCTTGACCTTCGATTGCTCGTTTAAACTCTTGATATGATATGAAGCCTAAAAAAAGTGACAAAAATTTGTTGAGAAATAAACCAATACGCAAACGAAAGACAAAGCAAAAGTCTTACCATTTTGATCAAGATCTTCTTCTTTTAAAATATCATCAACTAAACGCATCAATTCTTCATCAGCTAATCGAGGAGGAGGTGTGGGTGGTGTTTGGTTTGGATCTGTACTATCATTTGTAGGTACACCATCTAAAGGAGACACCAAAATTATTAGAGTAGAACGAAAACAAGCATTTGTGTTAACAAGCACGGCTAATCAAAACGATATTGTCGGTAAACTACTTGTGCAACAAACTCAAATTGTTTACCCAATTATCCTTTCAATAATATAAGAGAAGTTTTCCTGATTGGAAATAAAAGCTTTTGTTTAGTAAAAAATTCATCTGCTTACCGTCATGGACATGATTGAAAGCAGATACAACTTCCAAGCCATCTAACTGATTATCATTGTTAGTATCATGTAATTTAAAATAATAAAAGTTTTGTTGTTCAGGAGTCATTTCTTCTTTTGGTTTATTCACTTGTCCTTCGAGATCATGTCGAATGTGTCTAAAAAAAACAAAAGAGGTTACAGTGTGGATAAACTATAGCAAACCTTATTTTTTCATCTTACTCCATATCATGCGCCTGATTTTGCATTTGTTTTCCTCCACCATGCTCAACGTGTTGCGTGTTGCCTTGTGATGCATGATTGCCACTCTGTTGCTGTTCATGACCAAAAACACAGAGATACACCACCGAAAGTAGAAGTATTGATGTACGAGGAAGCATTCTAAAAAAAGCAATTTAAATAAACAAACGAGAAATTTAATATTACACAAAAGGGAACATTGAAATGTATAGGTTTAGCGCTAAATTGAAAGGGCAACTCATTAGTCGCTGAATAAAATAAGCTTAGATTTCTTCTTCCAATGGTTCAATACAAAATATTCATTTGCTCCTTGTGCAGCTCTGGTTAAGAACAAACATCGATTATAGTATGTAGATTTCACTTATTCTGTGATATACAAGAGACTTTCTTCGGTGAACTTCATTGAATGAAAGCTTTGGATTTACACAAAAGCCAAATAGGATTTTTATTTCCTGTTTTTTTTCGGCTATGGTACATGTACGGAGATATTAGCAAAAACATCCCCCTCTATAGTATAGAGTGACAAATATCTCCGTACGTGTATCGGAGTTGGAAAAAGAACAGGAAATGAGATCCTATTTGGTTCTTGTGTAAATCCAAAGCTTTCATTCAATGAAGTTCACCGAAGAAATTCTCTTGTATATCACAGAATAAGTGAAGTCTACATACTATTAATATATTCAGTATGTACGCCTTACTGTGACTTTTAACACTGGGATTAAAAGATTAATAAGCCTCGTGTTGATGTTGGTATAAAAAGGGAGAAAATCCAGAGAGGAAAAGATTCGTCATCAACTAGTTACGTGTCGTGACTCATTTACTTTCGATTGGATCATAATAGCCAATGATGTCTAGTTCTAGATCGCTGCAAAAATACTTTAGATCAGCAGTGGATTCAAATTTGAATTTAGTGACGAACAATTTTCAAGACGTCAAGCTGAAAATAAAGCAATCTTATCTTCTAGCATCAAATTTCAACATATTCTTTTTAAATGAGGTTGAAGGAACGGTTTATTGGTTACCCCGCCAATGGTAATTTATTGACAATTTTTCTTGGAGCGCATGGGCAATCAGTAAAAGACAACTGGAAAGCAAGCGCTTGGAAAGCGGTTGTTCTTCGCCGCGCTTAACGGAAAAGATATTAGATTAGAATCGCGCAAGGCCGAATTGAAACTAGTTCTTACTTTTTAATCAGGTGCGTCGTGAGAATTTTTTCAGGGAAAGCGCCTGCCAGCCAAAGAGGTTTCGTACGCGTACTACATTTTTCATCCTAGACTGTTCTTCATCCTTCTGTTGCTCACTCTATAGGTAGGGCTGGGTCCATTTATATACTCTCAGTCATGAGCCTATCTTTTAGGCGAACAATAGGTTCATTACGGGTGAGCTCATCCTCTAACTAAATGGATTTTCTTACTAGAATACTAATACTGCAAAACATCTACAATAGCTTTAATGACTAAAGATGCAATGAAGCTTTATCAGTATAGAAGAGGACTAATTTTTCTTCCTCATAAGATCGCTGCAATCAGACCTATTAGCGTGAAAAATAACGAAACAAGATGATCCGTCAGAGAATTCTTGTTATTCTTCTTATTATTTTTTCTTTCTTGAATGCGAAAGGTAACGTTCGTCAATTACTCTTTTTCTGCTGCTATAAATATCTAAAGCCTATCTAATGTTCAAAAACTGACAAAACAATATTTATCATGTTTTAGACATTTTTCTCTTTTCGATGCAATTTTTATTTTTACACCTACACTACTGCTTCATTCATTTTCATCTGTAAATTACTTTTCGTTATTGTTCATTCGTAATAAGACGCTAGCAGGTTAATTCATACTAGATATTTACTTTGTAAATGAACATCATTCTTACTTTTTAGTATATATTCGAACATTCACTTGAAATCACAATTGTTATTATGGGTACTAATTTATCAAAAACTGAACCATCTACAATAAAGGCATTGTAGAAGACTCAAATGGATATTTATTTGGACATTCAAATAGTCGATTTCAGTCATTTGAAAAATTAAAAACTGTTTTAAAAGCAGAATTAAAACATAGTCGAGGTACCATCTTCTCTATCTATTTATACTATGAAGGATGTTTTTTTCTTCTCCAGTAAGTTATCTCAAAAATATGTATTTAAAAGAAAGTGTAAAGTAGCTACTGGTTTTAATGTGAGAAGAAGAAAGCAAGTTTCAAAATATGAGCAGACTACGTGCCAAAGTTGATTGTTTAAATGAAATTGCATTTTTATAAACTCTATGAAATGGCTCTAGACTGTGATTCAAAGTTTTTTATAAGAGTTTTTCAGAACTTTTCTGATTTCTGATCTGACTAGAGGATGATGAAAATAATTTCTCCTGATTCACAGACTAAGTAACAAATACACATAAAATTTTATATTTTTACTAGCTACGAACTGAACTTATTGAAAGTTTTTCCTGAGTACTAGATTTAAAAAAGTGAAATGGACTCGATTTTTAGAGTCTTTATGTCCAGATCTGCTACATACTTTTTAATAATTCCACTTAAATGGCAATTATCAATGAATAATAAAATATGTTCAAATATGTAACACAATACCAAGCCGTATAAATACTGTCTTCATCTAAGAACAACTGAATTTACATTTTGATCACATACAGGGAGAAATAATACTTTTATTTCCTCAACATGCTTATCTTATTTTGATGTTATCCAGTGTATCTTTTTAGATGAAGTTGTTACCGATGCTGTCATTATTAGCTGTGAAGGCAGTTATTTACTCGATAGAAATTATTTTTGAAAAGATTTATTCTAGAAACCGTTTATTTTCATGATAAATTCTATCACAATTATCAGGTGATGATATACAAATATCGGAATAGATTCCAACACGTTCTATAATTGAAAATCTAAGAAATGAAGATAATATAGTAATGACGTAAAACTTACCATCATTACTGTTTTTATATTTCAGATTTTATAATAGTGACAAGTATCAATTTGATATTCATTCAAGTATCATGACTTAGAAAGGATTTAATAATCGAGAAGTTGAGGAAAAAGTTTGCTTTCACTAATATTCTGTATCATTTATTTGATTATTGATCACTTTTGGTCGTATTGTACGTATGCTTGTATCAAACTAAAGTTATATATATTTGCTTGTTTATTACACGTAGTACTATATCTATTTACAAAGATAAAGACACTCATCTTCCTCATATACAAGAAGTAGGAGTGTGGAGCGTCATACTCGATCAAATTAAATTAAATCAATTTTAAATACTCACAAAAATATTTCTACTGGTCTATCCAGAGTATCTCATCTCTCTTTTAGTTACGTAGCATGTTATTTATTAGCGTATATTCCAGCCATGATGGTAATTTCATCCTTAATTTTTGTAATTCTTTTTTATGTAAATAAATTCAAATCGGTCTTATCGAGTAGCAAACTTGATTTTTTTTCTGTTGTTAAATAAATTTTATTAATTTAAATATTTTTTGATTTTTTTTCTTCTAGATAAATCGTTGAAGCTGAAGATGCAGATCTTCATACGAACACTCGATAATCGTACATTACCATTCAGTGTTGAATCAGATGATACTATAGATGATATTAAAGAATTTATTGAACAACGAGAAGGTTTGTTTATCCTTGTTACCTGTTATTCTGTCAAACAGAAATAAATTTGTGTGTTTTTGTTTGTAGGTATTCCAGCAGATGAACAACGTTTAATATTAGGTGGTAAACAATTGAATGATGAATTAACACTGGAAGAATGTGAAGTTGAAGATAAATCAACGTTATTTGTATTATTGGATCTTGAAGGAGGTGGCAAAAAACGAAAAAAGAAAACGTATAGTACACCGAAAAAAAATAAACATAAACGAAAGAAGGTCAAATTAGCTGTATTAAAATATTACAAAGTAAGAATCAATGACTAAATTTTCGTTTTAGGTTTTATTTATTTAACAAGATATTAAAATTGAGTTTTAAATTTTTATTTAGGTTGAAGATACCGGTAAAATTCGTCGATTACGCCGTGAATGTCCATCGAAACAATGTGGAGCTGGTGTATTTATGGCTAGCCATCATGATCGTAATTATTGTGGAAAGTGTTGTTTAACATACATGTTCAAAAAACCGGAAGGAGAAGAAGAATAAATTATAATAATCCAAACATAAATGCAAGATTTTTTTAGATTCTTGTTTAATTTTATGAAAATCATCAACGTTGATTTGATGTTTTTGTTTTGTTAAATTGTTTACCATCGTTTATTTTCAAACAATAACAACCAGAAAACATCCTTGTTTTTTGAAAATAAAGTATGGCAACAAATTAGTTATCACTCAGACATTTGAGTATTATTAAGCAAAATTATGGGTTAATGAAACATCTTTCATAGCGATTAGCTACCACCGTTTATTTCAAGAACATTTGATACATATTGAAAGCTAAAGTGGCAAGGGGGAAAAGGCTACTCCGGGAGCTTTCCGGAGCCGTTGAGATGCTTGAGATGTTCAACATCCGATGCTGATGCGATGCTCTCCGGTGTTGACGGATGCTCCGATGCTAAGAAAGAAAAAGTCGCCTTTTCCTCCTTATAAAATGATATCGTAGTTTTTAAATGGTGATACTTCTACCTTCAAACTTTTTAAATTTTCACTTTATCACAGTATTCTAGACGTGTCTAAAGTAATTTTGTCTCTGATTTAGCAGCTAAAATTGTTTTTATCTGACTGTATGTTAGATTGTATAAATCAAACATACAACTATTAATTAAATAGATTTAGCTAGTTATGTAGCTTTCACAATTTCACAATACAGCACATATACAATTAGATATTATTGTTTAATGAGTTCATTTTCTTTTTTATCGTTATACACAGATGCTAATGTTTTCGTTTAAAAAGTTCGTTCATATGAGCTTGTTAGGGACGATTCGTTAAGTGCAGTATCTGCAATAACCTTTAAAGGCTTGTCATCATATGTTTGTTCCAAAGCGGTATTCTCTATACTTGTAGCAGTTGGTGTAAGATTTGTTGCTATTTCTGTTACGTCCGATGAACTTTTAGGACTAATATCATCATTTTTTAATGGTATTTTATTATTTTTGGGAGTTGGCTGTTGTCGCTGTATCATACTCATAGAGGGAATGCTATTTCGCTGTGAATGTTTTTTTTTTATTGAAAATGTTGGAGATACTGTAATTTCACGTTTTTTTCGAATGATAAACGAGTTACTAACAGATATTGGCCGTTTAGTATTATTTTTCAACATCATTTGTGAACGATTTGGAAGTTTGATAGATTGTTTTGTTTTAATATTTGTTTGTAAACGTTCAAGTTCAATATCATCGTCATGTTTTAATGATTCAATATTAGCATTTGCTAAATTTCGAAGTGGATCCTTTTGAGATGATAATCCATCTTGACTTTCACTAGTTCGTGCTGGTATTATTGTAGCTGCTGTTTTGACACGTGAACGACTTAAACGTGTATTATTGTTGTCTCTTATGGTATAACGCGATACAGTTGGTGAACGTTGAATAAAACTGTGATTTTCATCCGGAATAAGTGATACATTATCGTCATCGTCATTATAAATAAGATGATAATTTTTTAAACATTCTATCGGTAATAATGGTTTTCCACTTTTATTTTTCTGAAAACATTCCCATACAATATCTAAAATAGGTGAATATTTTGATTTGAATTTATACTCATGACAAGTGTATGTATTCACCTAATGTTTCTTCAAAGAGTGGTTTTGTTGTGGTATTTACTCGTGTATTACCCCATCTAAAGCAAGATACATTTTTATAATAAAAGATTTTTAATTGATCTCCTAAATTTACCCTACACCTGGATTATCATTAATTTCCAACAACCAAATTCGAAAATTTTCATCCAAAAGAAAATCACAACCATAGATGCCAAAAAAACCCGGTGTACAAGTTAATCTATGTCTACTAGCACGAATAACATGACGAATAATCGATTGCATTCTTATCTTAAATAATGAGTAAAACAACTATTTGTAAAAAGAATATGATAACTATTTTAGCTATTTATGATACCTGCATGACTTTCATTACCCAGTCTTCACACATGTTAGGGTTAAACGGTCGAAAACATTGATTAAAATAATGATTTAATTGTGTCATTGTCATTCCCGTATTTTCTTGTGAAAATGCATATCGATAATGATTTTCTTGAACGGACTAAAAAGCGTAAATAATGAACAAAAAAACTATTTAATCTATACTAAAAACATACCAAATTTGTTAAATGTGTTGCACGATCAAAATCAAATTCTCGATATAAATTGAGTGATAATCTTACAACAGACGCAATATGATTATAAAATACCAACAACGGTTTAGCCCATGCAATAAGAAAATGAACGCGGATATCGAATTTCTTGCCTTTGATTAAAAGTGGCCGAGCAATATATCTAAAGAAAAAATATATTTCTACTGTAATAAACTTAATTTTGATTTGAAAATTTTTTTCGAGAGAATTTTCTTGTGACCTACACGAGAGAAAATGAAATTTCAAGAAACTGTTTTTCTCTTTCTTTCACAGTTGAGAATGAGTTATAATTCAGCCCACACACATTATATATCTTTTAGTTAGAAATATAAGTATTTGGAAAATTCAACCTGTCAATGATAGATACTTGCTCTTGCATAAGATAACCTGGAAGTTTTGGTTGATATTGCAAACGATTTCCTATTCCCACTTTCAACTTGAATATTGAATTGAGGTCAGAATTTACTGTAATGACATAAATTCCCCGTCCTTGAATAAATAAATAAAAATGATTATTATTTAATTATACGTGTCAGTGTGTTCCTACCAGCATAACTATAACGTGGTTTGCATATCCAAGTTCGATTGTGTTCTGTAAATAGACAAAACAATCTAGCTAGATTAAATAATAATTGTAACTATATTTTTAATCATTTTTATATTTCTCGTCAAAGTGTGGGTTCTTCTTATGTGTTTTTGTATATATTTCAAGTTGAGGCAATAAAAAAGTCTGACAATCTAAATTAACTGTCATCCGTGTTATGTATTTTTTAATACTAGCTCTAAGTCAAAAAAACAGAAAAGACGTTATTTTTACTAATCATTAACTTGAGAGATAGAATTAATAAGGAAGAATAGGAAAAAGAAAGCAAAGAACAAGGTTTTACTTTTGTTAAAGAGTTAAAAAGAAAATCACATAAAAAAGGATGTTTATGTTTAATATGCATTATTCTTTTTTTGACTATCAAAACATAAATGTCTCTTAGATTACTTACTTTTATATATTCGAAGAAATTCATTAACTTCATTTTCATTATCCAGAACGAATGTCACAGGTAAAAAACTATAAATATGTATTTCACCCTCTTTTTGTCGTCGATTGATAACATATTCTTGAATTGTATACCACAAATTGACTTTGTCTGAAAAATAGATTTGACCCGGAATATTATTCACTAGTTGTTCGCCTAAATAGAGAGAAAAAAAATAAGGATATAAAATATTTTCAATTGAAAGCAGTTAGAGCAGAAATTTGATTTTTAACTTTGAATTATGTAGATATGATTACTCTTTTGGGTTTTTTTAAGTTCATCTCCTCTAAGAGCCAGAATACTATAATAGCTCATATATTGTCACCTGCTTCAAATTTACTCCAATCAACATTTCGTTCTAAACACCATTTTATCGTAAACCGAGTATAATTTCGATCTTTTGTTCGAATCCATCCGCGCTTTTCGAGTATATCTGATATTCTAGAAAGAATAATTAATAAGATTGTATGTCTCTTGTATCCCTCTCTATACGCCGCATATTTTCTAAGTATTTGATTGTAGTTAATCATTAACTTTCGTGATCATTTTCCCAAGTGGAAAAGTAAAAAGTTTTGTATATTCATAACATACAGACTTTGGTTTTATTTTTCTCATCTGTACTTCTAAGTCTGAAGAAAAAGTCTTTTTAACCGCAATAAATCAAAGAATTCGGGGGAGGGAGCGGGTGTGTTGGTGTTTATGGTGAACCACAGGAAAATAAATCTGTCGCCTTTCAATAAATTGTATTGAGTTTTCAAGTCTTCATGTGATGTAGATTGGTCACTCCGATACGTGCTTTACGATTGTATTTCCAATTTTCTCTTCGTATTCTCTTGATCCATGGATATAATATTTATACATTCGATTATTAAACCCCATAATCATCTTGTGGTAATTATCGACAACTCACTGTGTTAAGGGTGTGTTGGATGCATTTTGAAGGAATATTTGGTCGAAGTCTTTGTTTAAGGATAATCTTACTAAGGGAACATTATGGCTTTACGGAAGCGTTTTGTCGCTACCTTAAACTACGTTATATAGAATTACTGTAAAATTCTACTTATGAGGGAACCACCTCAAGTGTTTCCGAGCTTTTTCATCGAAACATACAAAGGCATAGGTTATCGCTGAAGCTGATTTCGAATATTCTAGTGGGAGCGGCATATGGACCCTTGGAGACCCGGTTTTCTAGAAAACCAGTTTTTCAGAAAGTCTAAAAATATAACCAAAACTTTTCTTAATAACGCATGATTGTAGCCCGCACATTTCTGATTAAAATGAGACATTCTCAGCTCGACACGACCTTTCTTTGCAAAGTCATACAATTTACAAGAAAAGCTCTAAATGTTCATTGTCAGCTCAAAGCTACAGAAAAATAAGAAGAAATAAATTTAGGGCTTTTCTTGTAAATTGTATGACTG